CTGGGCTCTGATTGGTTGTTTTCGTTCAGGCCCGGTGGATTCTTGCAAATGCCATTAGGAGCACTAGGAGGAGCCAGAGGAACCTGATTGTTTCACAGATTATCTGTCTCATGTACTACTGTCAGGATATAGTGAAAGGCTGCCCTAATGTTGTGTTTTTCACATACTGTAATTGGGACACTCTGAGGTGCATTAAAGGGACGACAATGCACAACATGGAGTCAAAGAACCTCCTGCATCGTTGTTCTTTGTGTAGTTTGTTTAATATAAACAAACATAATGTTTGTTTACTAAAAAACAAACTACACTTTTTTTTTTTTTTCTGTGACTGCATGAAATTCATTCCTCATCTCTTTACACTCTCTCCATCCTCAGCTGTTCATCTTCCGGGCCATTAAAGCTGATGGAGTGGACTTCACTCAGTGTGTGACCCACGGAAGTTTCCAGTATCTCTGGCAGGAGACGGCATACAACATGTTTCACTTTGTGACGCTGTATGTCTTCCCCCTGCTTGTCATGACTTTCTGCTACACCCGCATCCTCGCCAAGATCAATGGGCAGATGCGCAAGACCAAAGGTGTGTGACTCTCAAAAAAGGCGTGAGCTATGGAAACTGGAGAGGAACATTTTTAATCCTTTCCACCCAACACAGCATACAACTGCTGAGGATTTACAGGATAATACCAGTTTATTGCAACTTGGGTCTTATTTTATTAATTCAATAGTTTGTATTGTTGAGGTGTGGAAGTAATTAATTAAATTTAGTCTAGTTGCTGTAACAAAGTGGGATTTTAATTTTACTTAAAGGGTTTATATGTAACTTTCAGAAAATGGCTGTTATAGTGACACATCATCCTGGGCATCAGCAAAAAGTGAAAATGTTCCTAATTTTTATTTGAACCACTGAGTCCATGCTACTAACTAGCTTGCTGTTTACAAATCACCCCATCAGCCAACACCACGAAGCAACCAATGCCAGACCCACACCACGCAGCCAACCCCAGCTTGACTTAGGCTACAGTTAGCTAGTCGGATGCCCCTGCCTTCCATCGTTTTGGCTAGTACAAAGCAGTCCTTAGCTTTATACTGTTACATCATTTGGCTAAAATCAACACTGTTTGTCATAATACATAAAGATCATGTTAACTGGTTAAATAGTTTAAATGTAAATGTAAACTAACTAACATATCCACTCAGATAGTATTCTGCTAGCGATAACTTTATTAAGCAAGCAAGCTAAGGTTAGCCTGCTGGCTTCAGCCAGCTAAAACCACAATATCACATTATACTTTACAAGCTTTGCAGTAATGTCAGCTTTGACTTTGGACTCTGTTATGGGTGAGGTCAGTAGACTCTATTAACAAGCTAATGTTAGTTAGTGTTGCACAGTGTTGACCCTGTAGGGAAGTGGATTGAGACGGCACTGGGGAGCGAGCTTAAAAGTAATATCTTTTGGATTTTTGTGGAAAATCCAACCGGCATCCCTACGCAGAAGCAATAAAAAGTGATTAATACATACAATTTTTCTTAGATATGGAACCTTTAAGTATTTTTTATCTTAAGTATTGTACTGTTCTTTCAAGTCGCATCTGTTAAGTGTAAAAACAAAAATCCCATGAAAAGTCCTGATAAACTGTGTGAGAATGTAATAAAAGAAAACAGCTGCAACAGAGAAGAAGCTGCTGGCGTGACTTAATTCTAACTTAATTAACTGCTGTAAATGAACAACACACACCTGGCGAGCACACTAAGTAATGTGTGTTTGTGGCTGCAGACGCTGTGGAGTTTATATTGTGTATACATCTCTGTGTTGTCTGTCTCTGTGATGTTTTGTTCTGCTGTTCATTCTTTAAGAAGTGGCAGATTATTTAATATCTGTAATCTAATAAGGCACCCGCCATGGTATCCACAGCTCTTTGTATTTATTGTCAAGTCATTTTTTGTTTAATTGAGTGAGTTTGTCCTCTTTTCTGGTTAATTCTAATGAGGCACAGGCTGCAAATGTCCATCAATGAAAAGGAATATATTCTGGGGCTCTGTGGTGTGATGTGTTGAGATGTTAATGCACTTTATATTATAGCCTTATAAGTGTTAATACTTCTTCACTCATATATCACATATCATCATATAACATTAAGTCTTTACTCCCCCTTTTAAAATTAAAAATATAATGCAAGACTACATTTTAACTGACCTACTTTTTACTTTTGAATGTTTAGTAATTTTACTTTTACTTACTCTTTCCTATTGACTTATTGTTAATAATAACATTGTACTCACCAAGTGAATAGCTGAGATCTGGGAACAGACAAAAAAAAAAGTCAGATGGGTCAAGAAACACTGGCAGACATCCTTGTTGTGGTACCAGGAGCTTAATGACCATAAACTGTATAAATATAGGTTTGTGACATACAATTGGAGCTGACAAGCTATCTGCTAACATGCTAGTAAGCCAGGAACATGGCAGTGCTAGTCAGCTACAATAGCTCTATAAGCTGGACTCAAGCTCCAATGAAATAACTTCAACCTCTGTTAGAAAATCAGAAATCTCTTTTACCAGCTTTCTAGCTCCCTCCACGGTCTGAATGTGGCCTAAGAACACCGGTGCGTATGCACTATGGACAGGGCTTGTAGCAGCTCATGTTCAAATAAAGTGGTTTAGATATTCTCCATAAACCTGTCTGATAATATGACTCGTTTTTCTTCACCTGTCCGAATTTTCATAGTTCCCAGATCTGAATACAATGTTATCATGATACAAAATAACTATATATGTATATGTATATAAGGTAGTATAAAGTGTAATTATTCTTTCCTGTACTCCCCTCTAGCTGTAAGGGATATTAAGGGAAGTTATTTTAATTTGCTATTACTACTACTAACATTTATTGAAAATGCTTTCTGGTATGTTAGTTTTTGCCCATGTTTCGTTTCTGCAGATGGTGAGCATTGCCTTAGACGCAGTGGAACAGACATGATACCCAAAGCCCGGATGAAGACCCTCAAGATGACCATTGTGATCGTTAGCTCTTTCGTCATCTGTTGGACACCCTACTACCTCCTGGGGATCTGGTACTGGTTCCAACCAGCCATGATCAAGCACACACCTGAGTATGTGCACCACATACTGTTTGTCTTTGGCAACCTAAACACGTGCTGTGATCCTGTCATCTACGGCTTCTACACACCGTCTTTCCGGGCCGATCTCGCTGACGTGTTGGCGTGCTGCCATGGTCGGCAAACCAATGCCTCGCCCCGCTCTGTGGATCGTCTGTCTGCACGAAGTGCTGGAGCTGCTGTAGAGATGGAGTCTGATCTAAGCTCGAACCAGCATAGCGGGAACCCCAGTTAAACAGTGGAACATCTCACTCTGAGGAATTAAGCATTGTTATGATATAGCCAATGTCGTTAATGGGGGTCAGCTGTTTAATTCTCGAGGAAATCCATGGGTACATAATTGGATGGGAACCTCTTGCCCTTTAGGACAACTGTTTTAAGCTGTGGAACTGTGATCCAGAGGGAAAAACCTCTCTTCTCAACATCTGCACCAACCGATTTTTATGCCCTCGCTGGTCTTCTATGGTCTCTCAAGATCACAAACAAAAGCTGATGTGCTGTAAGACCAGTGTGCCACTACTGCCAGTATTATGCTTTTCGTTTCGGTCATATATATAAGTTACAATGTCTGATGCTGATATTAAGGTCAAAGTGTCAAATAATTAAGTAAATGTATGTAAATGTAATTTCCGTGAGCCAAAAGCTCAAAATTCAGACTGCGCTGAATGCAACGTTTACAATGACCTTTTCCAGATGACATGACTAGCCAGCTAATTGTGGATTTCTTTACATGTCCCTTTGCTCTCGGCAGGTCATGCACTCCCCAGAAGTCAGGACTTACTTTCTAGTTTCAGTATGCAGACAGAGATTTTTCGGTGGTGAGGGAAAGCAATATGTGTTTTTTTCCTCTGATGTTGTGCGGCTTCTCTGCCTTACTTGTAGCTATTACCTAGATGCTAGCTGCTGCTAACGGACTGGGAGCTTGAGGCACCGGTGTTCTAATCAGAGTCACCTAATAGGACGACTGAGTTAGCTGCACTGCTAACCAGCAACAGCTGCAGCTAGTTAGTGGCTAAAGTAGCTCACCGCTGACAACAGGTTTTATCAGGACACTAAATCACTTAAAGCTGAAGCAGATACAGAGAGCTGGAAATGAGTATATAGGTCCACTTTAGATGACTATATATCACAACAATATATACACAATATGTTTCCTCGCTGGACACATGTTTTACTGTACGTTCAGACCAAACAAAGCTACAAAGCATGCGGAAGTCATTCACTTTGTATTGGGAAGCAGGCGGAAAAAGCGGAGAAAGCGAAAGATCGAGCGGACAAGGCGGGAAATATTTTTTTTAAATTTTTAACTTTTTATGACACGCCAGAGCGCACAAAGCGGATAGCCATGCAATAACCAATGGGAATGTCTAGATCTGCTGACGTCCCTTGGTCAAGTGGGTCCCAGCGAAACTTGGGTTCCTACCAAAACATTCGTTCCGAAATGGCGCTGGAGATATAATAATAATAATAATAGCTGCCGTAGCCAGGGAGGCCGGTATTGTACGACGTGGGCGCGTCTTCGCAGGTAGAGCAGGGCAGCACCAAAAGCAACGATCTCTCTCTCATCCATGTCGATCCCGGTAAATTAATGAGCTGTGCTACAGCAGTTGTTGCACGGCGGGCTTGGCTTTTTATCCGAGTGACGTGCGGCCCCTTTAAATTGAGAAGCAAGAACGAAAGAGCGACAAAGGCGGCAAAAGCGACTTTAACGGGGCGGACAGGGCGGCTTTGGCGTACTGTCCGCTTTTGACGCTTTTGGTCTGAACGTACAGTAATAGCTTAGTCGGCCCACACCAGTGTTAAGAGACGTGCATGTGACGCATATCAATACACAAAATTCCCTACCTTTTAAAAAAAAACAAAAATTCTCTTGCCTACCTAGTAAAGAATAAAAGTGTAAATGCCTGTTTTACTTTGACAAGTGCCCACTGTGTAGTCTACTGAAGACTTGTTTTTTTTATGTAATACACATACAGTAGATTGATATTGTTCTTCTCATTTTACCCTCAAAGAAAAGACAATAAGAGTATTTCCCAAAATGTTGAACTATCCCTTTAAGAGTCTATTTAAACACTACCTCTAAGAGAATACAGCTAACTGGATAATTACTATATCAGCGCATGATTGTGAAAAACTATGAATGCTAGTTAGTATTTAATAGAGAGTGTTTCTTGGAAAAGTAATAGGAAATTATTACAGACTAAAATATTTCACCTTTGAAATTGATATGTACTATTTGGCAGTTGGCCAGTATTAAACGTGTTGTAGATTGTAATAGCAAGAAATAACTTGTTATATATGCATATATATGATCAACATATGTGCAATTTATATGTAACAATGTACTGAATGTGACTGTGCCAAAATTGTTATACTCTAAGTGCAAGCAGGTGTGATGTAAAGAATCAATCAGAGTCTAATATATGCTCAATAAAAGTCTGATAAACAATATCTTTTGAATATTTTTGTAACATTTAGAAATTTTAATACATGTAGGTGTGGTATAGATCAGTCTACAACTCTCAGATTAGTTTGTTTTATGTAAATTATTGTCTTCTTTAAATCTTGTCAAACTTATAATAAATAAATAAGAAAATAAAGCTTCAGTGAAGCAGGCTGGTAGAATGTGTTTGCCCAAAGACTATGACCTTAGTTTTATCATCATTAAGTTTTAAAACATTTTTGGACATCCAACATTTAATCACTAAGGCAGGCAAGGAGTGGACAGGGAGAGGGACATTTAGTTGTGTGTCATCTGCATAACAGTGATGGGAAACACCATGGGTCTGGATGATCTGGCTAAGAAAAGGCATTTATATTGAGAACGGCAGTGGGCCAAGAAGGGAGCCTTGAGGAACACCTCGGTTAAAATGAAAAACAAATTTGATTGTGGAACTTGCTAAATCTATGGAAATAGTTCTATTGGACAGTATGAATTTAGCAGATGTAGAGCAGGTTTCTAGACAGTTCAGTAGAACAGAGCATTCAATTGCGTCAAAAGAAGCTTTCAAATTGAAAAGTACTGAGCAGTCACCTCTATCTGCTGTTAATAGTAGATCATTAGAGACCTGAAACTATTACAAATGTTATTATTCTTCATAAAAGCAATTCATTGACTTTCTCTGGTACCTTGGATAGAAATTGTCATTTAGAAATTGTAATTAATGAGTAATAGAGGATTCAGATTACCTATTTTCTTAAAGGACCAGTATGATGGATTTAGTGCCATCTTGTGGTGAGGTTGCAGACTGCAACCATTTGAATTCAGCTCGACTTCCAAGCGTGTAAGAGAAGGTACAGACAAACAAAAATTGTACACAAAACACAAAACGCCCTATTGAGAGCATGTGTTTGGGTTGTCCATACTGGCTGAGTCAACATGGTGACCATTCTAAGTTAACAAAAAAACAACAAATCTTATTTTCAGGTGATTATACACTAATGAAAATATCCATATGAATATTATATTCCATTTCTGACAATAGATCCTCCTTAAAGTTAGCGGTTGAATAATTGCATGTTTGAAACAATTAGGAAAGTTGTCAGAAGTCAGAGAACTGTTAATAATAACTTTTCAAACCCTATCATTTACGTATCTGACTTAAGGGGTCAAAGATCAAAAACTAGAATGTAAGTAGGTTACAACAGCATCATAACCAATAAATTATATGGGCAACTATTCAGGGAACTATTTTAAAACCTTGTTCCCAACCAAACTTGGATGTGCATGTTGTTTGGATGTCCATAACAACACATAAGGAGGGGTTACACAACCAAGCATGACAGCTCATTTGGGGTCTAAGAACCAGACCTACTGTATGTCAGCTGATCTCAAGTGTAGGACCTTGTCCTCGTCTTCCTCTACAAGAGATGCTTTATCCGTCTCTTAATTCAACAAT